ATCTTTGTTCTCCAGATACTGGCAACGCTCTGAATGCGAGCAGACCCCCTAAACTCACAAAAGCGGCCTGGGTCCCGCTGAGCAGGAGGGTAGCAGGTTTTGGGAAGCTGAACAGCACTGACATGGAAACTGCTGATTGAAATGCAAACCTTCTCCAGAGAAGATAGAATACCAAGAATAAAGGAACAGAGCATTCCGGGTACACCCACCCCAGCTTCACTTACAAAAGATGAAGTTAACCATAGGAAGTCAGGAAGCACCAACAACTGAGTAGCAACTGGATCAGATCTCAAAGGACGCAATGGTGAAAGTGCAGCCTTTTGTGGCTAGTGGGTTCAATTGTTAGTTGTTTCCAATCGCTCTGTATTGTTTCTCCGAGAGTGAGCGAGAAGTGACACAGAACCTTGCCTCGGCCAACACTCTCCACCTCCCCTCCTTCCTCTAACACCTGTTCTTGTGGGAGGGAGGGGGAATCCCCCTTAAAACTGATCCTCCACTTCAAAGCCAGCGTCTTTGGCACAATTAACACATGGGCAGGAACCCGCAGGTCCTCTTCAGGTGTTACTTAAAATGGCAAGTTCACAGAGTTAGCTCTAGCTGCCAGAACCCAGCACCTGTGACACATTAGCAATTAAAGCCAAGCAGGTCTAGCTGGGAACCAATGGCAGTAACGGCAGCACCTGAGAGGTACAGTTAATCTCTGGTTTCTAAGAGAACCTTTCCATCCCAGCTTTTAAAGGAAGCTCATTTGGACAGCAACAAAAGTTCCAGAAGACCTAGAAGATTTAAGTCAAATCTCATCATTATTTACCTTTAAGATTAACATATTCACTTACTCAGATATGTATGGAACCATCACTCTGTCCAGGCATGGAGCTAGCCTCACAGGACACAGTCATGAAGGAGAGGACAGATGGTCTGTGCTCCCAGAGCGTCAGAAATCCATGTTGGAGACAGCCTCCCATAAGGGAGAAGCCTGCCTGCCTTCACAGCATGTGTGACTTAGGCAGTTCTGGGGGAAGGAAAAAACAAAACACCTCCACCCACCCCTGCCCTGTTCTTTACAACTTTCATACTCTTTCCTCCTTAGTGGTGGGACATGGATGGTTGTTGCAAAGACAACAGTGCTTTCTGAAAGGGGAACCACATGCCCTGAATGAGCCAACAATTATTCAGAGCTGCCCTTAGTGCCCATCCTCAGTTATGTTGGCCCTGGGACAGGGAGGCAGCAGAGAGAGAAACCAGAACTGGGCTGAGGATCTAGTCTTCTTTCTGCCAATAAGACCCTTCCTTTCATGGCCCTGAGCAAGGAGCAAACCTCTCTGATGCTCCGTAAAAATCAGGTAACTTCATGTTCTAACAGGTTACACCTGTTAGCAGGTTCCACCTGCTCATATGGTCATGAATAGTCATGGAAGCAAAGATATTTTGTAATTTTCCCAAAGAAAATTTCTAGGCTATCCTACATTTAATACTATCCTACTAGATTTCTGGGCTATCTTTCATATGGAAAAGCAACTAGGAACAAGTGACATCTCACTGTGGTCTGAATTCACACTTTTAAAAATATTATAAAGGTCAATAAAACTCACAAGAGTCAAATTTCCATTAAGCACCTACTACATACGTTCAACATGCCAGACTCAGCAGACAATGACAATGAGCATTTATCCAGCATTTCCTGTGTCTCAAGCTTTTCAAAGCACTCTACATACATTAATTCACTTAATCCTCACAGCCTCCCTGTAATTTCAGCACTAATATGATGCTCATTTTGCAAAGGAGAGAACTGAAGCACAGATTAGGAAACTTTTCAAGGTCATAAAACTACTAAGCAGCAGAGCTGGGAGTTTTATTGTATGTGTTTTGACAGCAGAGCCCTCTGTGGGAACTCGGTGACTTACCAGAGCAGTGCATTCTGCATCCTTTCCTCATTGTATCCTTAGCTAGAGCCCAGTGTTATCAGTCTTACCGTGCTGCGCCAATTAAGAGGACCTTGCTCTACAAACTTCAAGTAAACACAGTTGCAGAAATCACATTCATTTCCACATTCTCAGAGGACTTGGCAACACTGTTGCATTATCTCAAAGAAGAGTGGGAATTCTTACATCCCCCAAGTCACTATCTCCTATGGGAACATGAGCCACCCCAAGCAAGAGCACCGCCTACCGAGATGCCACTGACTGGACGGATGTGGGAGTACCGGCAAGACTGAGGGGGGCACTGGTACCACGCAGCCTCCACTTTAGAGGTCCATGAATCTCAAAGCCAAAAGTCACGGCTAACAAAGTTTAGAAAAACACCTAACATGCTCTATGTTAAAGAGCCACCTTGAAGAACAAAGTCTTCTTTTGCTCAAAACAGCCATTTCTATCCTCCCTATCCCCGATAACATATGAACTACATGACTTTGAACTCAATCATACACCACTGTGCACTGGTCACAGTTTCAAGGGCCTTATCTAAGATCAAGTCTGCAAGACCAGGGACTATACCTTGTTGCTTTATATGTAAACATTTTCTAGGACTATTCTAAGCTCATAACAAATGTTCGATAACTCAATTAGGGAATCAAAAAGGTTAATTAGGATGTTTATTCAATAGCCTCAAACTAGATTTTAGTGATGTTTCTTATATACAAGCCTGTTCCTCGTTTCTTATTTAACGAAAGCCTTTTAATGTGGCATTTTGTTGTTATAACCCAATAAACGGAAAGTAAATAAACCTTTTGGTTCAAACTACATGGTTTGAGAAAGACGGGGGGGAGGGGGGGGGGAGTCAACTTGTGGGAAAAAATTTGATAGCCATAAGAGGGTAATGTCATATTAACTTTTTACACTTGATTTTATATGCTTAGTTTGGCTGTAATAAATTCAGTTCAGACAAATCACACCCCAACTCTGATACCTTAACTACTGGTAAGAATATGCCATATGTTAGATTATAATGCTAAGCAAGTATGTACTCTTTACATTTATTAAGCTGTCACTAGCATTCACTCAAACATTATTGATTAAACTTTGGGTACTTGGTATAATACACATTGGAGATAGAGAATCTACGGGGACACTGACTAAGATAAAATCCTGCAAGGAAGGAAAGCTATACATGTATGAAGTTAGTTGTCTAAGATCTTATATACATATAAAGTCAATTGTCTAAGACCTTAAGGGCAATGGTAATTCAAAAAGACCACTATGGCTGTGGATGTTGGTGTTTCCTATGAAACTGTCTTTGAAATTTATAGCCATCTGGATTTATAGTCTTCTTCCTCACTTACATCCCAGGATCTGGAACATTCAGCCCTAGTTGAGAGCACCTGTGGGATAATGAAAGGGCCCAGGCTTTAAAGTCAGACAAACCTGAATTTGAATCTTGACTCTCCCACATATTAGTTTGTGGCCCTGGGCATGTTATTTAATCCCTCTGAGCTTTAGTTCTCTCCTCTGTAAAGCCGACATAACACAAATGCTACAGAGTCAATCATTGGATTAGAAATGATGCATGTGAAGTTGGTAGGACAGTGCTGAACACAAAGTCCTCAGCAAGACAGAATTGAGGCAAGGAGGTAGTTCCAGGACAAAAGATATTTATTCTGGGCCGGGCACGGTGGCTCACGCCTGTAATCCTAGAACTCTGGGAGGCCAAGGCGGGCGGATTGCTCGAGGTTAGGAGTTCGAAACCAACCTGAGCAAGAGCAAGACCCCGTCTCTACTATAAATAGAAAGAAATTAATTGGCCAACTAATATATATAGAAAAAAATAGCCGGGCATGGTGGCGCGTGCCTATAGTCCCAGCTACTTGGGGAGGCTAAGGCAGGAGGATTGCTTGAGCCCAGGAGATTGAGGTTGCTGTGAGCTAGGCTGATGCCACAGCACTCACTCTAGCCAGGGCAATAAAGCGAGACTCTGTCTCAAAAAAAAAAAAAAAAAAAAAGATATTCTGAACCCATCTTTTCTTCTCCAAATCCCTTAGGTCTCCATATACCATTGGGTATAATGGCAGATCAGATTTATTGTGTCTACCATGTTCATTTTTGTATTAAATCTATCCTCCATATTAGTGGCTTTAAAAAAAAAGTTACTTAAACATGTCAAGTTCAGAAGCGGCTTCTGAAGTTCTTTCACTTGTGTTAAAAACCATTTACCAAAAGACCCCTGGGTAAAGAGTAGGCATTTACTCAGAACATGCTACATGACTGACAGCTTAATTAAAAGTAAAACTCAGCAAGGAAAAAATCAAACAACCCTATCAAAAAGTGGGCAAAGGACATGAACAGAAACTTTCCAAAAGACAGAATAATGGCCAACAAACATATGAAAAAATGCTCAACATCTCTAATCATCAGGGAAATGCAAATCAAAACCACAATGAGATATCACTTATCTCCAGTGAGAATGGCCTTGATTAATGAATCCCAAAATAAAAAATGTTGGAGTGGATGTGGAAAGATGGGAACACTCCTACACTGCTGGTGGGACTGCAAACTAGTTCAACCTCTGTGGAAAGCAATATGGAGATACCTTAAAGTGATACCAGTGGATCTACCATTTGATCCAGCAATCCCATTACTGGGCATCTACCCAAAAGAACAAAAGTCACTCTATGAGAAGAAACTTGCACTTGAATGTTTATAGCAGCACAATTCACAATTGCAAAGTTGTGGAAACAACCCAAGTGCCCCTCAAAACATTAGTGGATTAATAAAATGTGGTATATGTATACCATGGAGTACTATTCAGCTTTAAGAAACAATGGTGATATAGCACCTCTTGTATATTCCTGGCTACAGCTGGAACCCATTCTACTATGTGAAGTATCTCAAGAATGGAAAAACCAGCACCAACATGTACTCACCAGCAAATTGGTATTAACTGATCAACACCTAAGTGGACATATAGGAATACCATTTATCGGGTGTCGGGCAGGTAGGGGGTATATACAAACATAATGAGTACGATGTGCACCAACTGGGGGATGGACACGCTTGAAGCTCTGACTTGAGGGGGGATGGAGGGACAAGGGCAATATATGTAACCTTAACATTTGTACCCCCATAATATGCTGAACAAAAAAAGTAACCCTTGAAGAATCTGGTTTCCTGGAAGACTGGTCCTTTGCCTCATTTTAGGTTAATGTGGTAGACGAGCTAACTGCTCATCTAAGGATCTGTCTAAATGGGCTCACACGTGTCCCTGGGGGTGAGGACACTGGTTTCTATAGCAGTGCTTTAAAATTTAATGCACATCTCATTAAAATGCAGGTTCTGATTCAGGAGGTCTAGGGAGAGGCCCGAGATTCCAACAAGCGCCCAGATGCTGCCGTGCGGCAGGTTTCCAGACCACACCTGGAGCAGCAGAGTCTACAAGGCTAGGACAGTCAACTCACAAACCAAGGAACACGTGGCATTCCTCCATTGTTGGGGTTCAAAAGCGAAAGAAGCAGAAACTACCAACTGACTTTGTCTTAAAAAGAGCAGTAAGTTGTAGAAATAGGATAAGGCCACTAGAGTACACATAAAACTCGACTTTCATAAACATGAAAACAAAAAACTTTTCATATTACACAAGAATCAACATCACTTCTTAGCTGAAGACATCTTGTCCCATACCTTAAACAAAGCTCTTTATTCTTTTCCTTAAAATTTCCTTTTTGCTAGATTTCATAGCTGTTTCTTTGGGTAGCTGTTAGTAAAAAAATAAAATAAAATTGCCAAGCCACTGCTCATGTCTCTTGTTGAGTGTAAAAAACACCACGATGCTTTAAAAAGTCTGAAAAAGATGATAGTAATAACCATAACAGAATAATCAGGCACTGATGGCTTCTGAAAACCTGACATGCATTCTTTAATTGTCACTGATTTATGTCAAGTCTGACCTTCAGGGACTGAACATATGAGCAAACCATCTCAGGGACACTTTCCATGTTAAATTAGAAGCTTAATACCGTAGTGATAGAAAAACAACGTGTCCTAAGAAATACTGTGTCATGGGGAGATACACAGGGCTGGAACCAGGCAGGCAGTCCTGCTGCCAGCACCACCAAGTCATTTTACCAGCCGGGTGACCTTGCCTGCTCACCCAGTTAACCTCTTAAAATCTTCACCTGCCGATTGAACACGCTTCTTTCTCCTCTGTCACAAATTGCTCAGCGTTCATCCCCCTAGAGATGGCAGCCCGTCCCAAGCCTGAGGAATGACTGTTGATTCACTTAAGTGATGGTTGTCATTCCATCGCCCACAAAAGATTTAAAAGTCTGAGTACACAACGTAACTGATGGTGCCTTTGAAAGCCCTGGAACCACTTGTATCTGAATCTTTGCTTCTGTGAAATGAACTTTCTTGCAACATTATGACCAATTCACAGGCTACAACATTATGAAGAGTAAAACTTCCTTTTAAGTTCATTTCTGGGGATTGCTATGTTACCTCCTGGCACCCCAAACGGACCTCATGAGCCTCAGAGACAGTCTGGTGTGGGCACGTGACCAGATTACCTTTAAAAAGCAGACACCCAATAAATGTTTGTGGGTGTGTGCCTCTTCCAACCAGTGAAAGCATGGGGACAGAAGCCCAGAACTCACAGTGAAAAGCGAAGTCACCCCTCACCTCCAAAGGCCGCAAGCGGGGAACAGTGGTTCTCTCCTGTTGGGGACAAGAACCACCTGGGGAGCATTTTTGAAACTACAGCTTCCCTAGCCCTGTCCGCTTCCCACGCTTAGTTTTAACAAGCGCCCTAGTGACTCACACACCCAGGTGGATCTGTGGCCCACATTTTCAGAGACAGACTGTTCCTTTTCCTGTGTCCCAACGATCTTGATGTTTTCACTTGACACAACCACAACTACCCGCAATCTCCCCCCCTTTCCGTCCAGAGGCCGTGACAGCCATCCATTCTGTCCCAACAGAAGGTCAAAAAGACAGCCAAGTGCCAAGTATTTCCTTATTGTTGACTTTGTATTTTCAAAACAAAACGCAAATGTAAAAGCAGCCATTCGTCTTTGCTATGCCCCGCTGTTTACACGCAAAATCCATTCCACTCTTTCAAAACCTTGCAACCTCTTCCCTTCTAACCTCCACCACGCCAGCCTCTCAGGGAGCGGGCTCAGTCTGGGGATGCGAGGCACACGGTCTAGATGCAAACGCAGCCGCCCGGTGTGGCTCTGGCCCATAACCAACCAGCACCGAGGAGCGCACGTCCCAGCTCCCCGCGGCCCCTGGTCTCCGAGCGCGACTCCACACCCCTCGTTGGCCACAGCGCGTCCCCATGCAGCCGGGGCGCGCAGCGGCCGCCACTCGCAGAGTCCCCTAGGCTTACCTGTAGCACGTGGTGAGCTCGCCTGAAGCCTTCAGACACGGGTATTTAGTAGTCACGATTTTGTTTTCCGAACAGATTTCTCTACAGAAAAGTAGCAGAGGAAACGTGTGACTGTCAGCGGGGAGCGGAGGGCGGCGTGCGCGCCGGGGGACCTCTGGCGCGCCAGGAGCGCGGGGCAGGCGCTGGTCCCCGAGCGCGTCCGCGGAGCTGACTCCGGGAACAGGGACGCGCCAGCCGAGGGTCGCAAAGGAGCGAGCCCAGCCCCAGGAGAAAGGAGAAGCTAAGGAAGCGGGGCTCACGAGCCACGCCCGCCGGTGGGCACTGGAGGGAGGCAGCAACGCGGGGCGGAGGGGATTCCAGAGCCCCGACCACGGACGGCGGCAGCTCCGGCTGCGGGCGCGGAGGCTGGTACCCGGCTGCAGAGTTCAGTGTCGCCCAGGACAGCTGAGCGCCCCGCCCGTGGCCGAGGAGCGAGGCCGTGCGGATCGCCGCGGGAGTGGGTGTTCGGGGGACCGCCCGCACCCCACGAGCCGGGCGCGCACCGAGCAGGAGCTCGCCCTCCGCTGGGGCTGGCAGCGCTTACCTGTCGCCGTTCTCGAGCTCTCGGTAGGTCCACGTGTGTCCCAGCGCCAGGAGCAGCAGCAGCGGACCCAGGCTCCTGCCCAGCTGCCCCCTGGCTGCTCCTCGCCGGCTCGGAGGAGGCGGCGGCACCATCGGGGAAGCTCCCGGCTTCTTCCCCGCGCCCGAGCTCCGTCCCGGCCCCGCGCCCTGCTCCTCGCGGCCGCCGCCTTCCCTCTCCCCGGCAGGGGGCGCCGGAGAGCAGGGGTGTTTGCACCACCTGCACGAGGCGCAGGGGCGCAGGGGGTCAGCCCAGCGGTTGGGGTGCCGGATGCCAACTCGGCCAGGTAAGCCGCGTGCTTGCGGGGTTGGGCCGGCGCGAGGGCCCTGGTCGTCTCGTCGGGACGTTCACGCCCGATTGACAGACTTGCTCGACTGGGCTTGGGGCCGTGCCCTCTCCCCTTCCCTCTTCCTCCTCTGGGAGAGACGTGCAGGGTGGCGAAAGCAGGCGGTTGTTTGCATTTTGCTCCAGGGTCCGCACGACCAGGAGGAGGAGGAGGAGCCCATCCTCACCCAGGAAAGGGGGGGAGGAGGAGGAGGAGGAGAGGGGTTAATAAGCTTCCTTCCTGTTGTCAGTTGATTTCTTAGGCCCAGGGTCAGGCCAATGTTTGCCTTTCCCCCTTAAGGACCTACTGCTGTTTCCAACTGTCTTCTCTTAGCAGAGTACGGGAGGAAGGAGGAGTTGAAAGGCCACCACGGGTCTCCCAAATTGCCTTATTTCAGACCTGAAATAGTACTGTTTATAAGGTGCAGTCTTCATTAAGAAACCCTGATGAGAAAGTCCTCTGTCGTTTCATTTATCCATAAACTATGCCGCTATTTTCTTCATAATTCAAGCTCTGAACAAGTAAGGAACTCCGGTTGGGTCTTTCTGGAAGTCTTAAAGTCCCTTGCCCGAGCTGCATTCAGAGTTTCCACGCCACGCACGACTTCAGAGCTGGGAACGTCTCACTAATCAGTGAGACTCCCAGGGTCCCCGGCTGTGCTACCTGCTTGTTTATGAAGTCGTGTTTACGGGCAACGTGAAAACGGGGTTGGGTGAGGGGAAGAGAAGATGGTAAATCAGCTCACTTGGTGGTGATCCTAATAGTAATTCGTAAAAGTCAGCATCTTAACACTTTGTTGCACTTCAGGAGTTTTCTGAGCTTATAAAAGAGAAACTCGTGACAGAGCCATGAACTACAGAGCCAAGCAAGTGATGTGGCCCAGAAATAAGTTGAAAAGCAAGGGATTTTATATGCCTCAACTCTAACAGGTGAACGGTAGCTTGTTCACACTTACCAGAGTGCAAATTAGATAGGTAAGCAGGCGTTTTGATTTACAAAAATATTCTAATCACCTGAGAAGTATTATACTTATCACATTCACATTGACATTTTTAACAGTAATGACATCCTCATTCCTCTGTAGAATGCAATGCATTTTTCAAAGATTTTTCCACTCTCATGATTTTATTTGATTTTCACAATATCTCTTCAACCTAAGTGTCTGATTTCTTAGTCTGGTGAGGTCAGTTTTTTCCTACAAATCTTAAGAGATGGAAAACCACACACTTGATATAAAATATGACACTGCTAGTTAACACAAAAGTTAATTTGTATGTGATAATTCAGAGGGCATTTCAGAATCTTGCAAAACTGGAGAATGAGCACCATGGGGTCAGAAAAAAACCTAGATTCAAACTCAGGCGGTGTGGTTTCCTAGGTGAGTGACCTTTGGCAAGTTACTTAACCTTTCTAACACTGTTTTCTCATCCGTAAAATGGGGGAATATCCCTCATAAATTTTTATGAGTATTAAATAAAGTAATGCATATAAAACATTTTGCACAATGCCAGGCATATATTGAGTGCTCAGTAATCATTAGGATTACTTGTAACATAAATTGTATTGCACAGATCTTTGTTTTAGCTTTCTAGCTTTTCACTTTCTAGATAAATAAGAGTCTATATCTCACAACTGTTCCTAAGGAGAGACCTAACTAAGCACATGAAAAATAAACCCATCCTAGATCTTATGAAAATTGTATCATTTTAGATTGTGCCACAAACATGTTTGATGTCTATCTTGGAAGGAAAAGGCCATTCTACAGGAGGTTCTATTTTTGATTTCTTACTGAATACTCTATTTTGATAATTTGCTATCTTTTCCCCTCATCTTTACTCATTTTTTCCACTTTTGCATTGTGGATGGTAGTTCTACAAATAATCGAGCATGGTGTAGGAGATTAGTTATCAGCTTCATTAAATGCTTACTAAGCCACAGGTGTAGACAAACAACTTTTTTGTTTTGACAAACAGCTGCATAATGACAAATGCAAAACATGTCTATTATACACAGCGGTGTGGCAGAAGATTGCCGTCAGAGCCAGTTTTGCCACGTTTTTATTTTCGGCCCTCTATGCTGAGTGCCTTAGACCAGGGGTCCTCAAACTCTTTAAACAGGGGGCCAGTTCACTGTCCCTCAGACCGTCGGAGGGCCAGACTATAGTTTAAAAAAAAAAAAAAAAAAAAACTATGAACAAATTCCTATGCACACTGCACATATCTTATTTTGAAGTACAAAAAAAAAAAAAATGGGCAAAAACACCCGCATGTGGCCCGAGGGCCGTAGTTTGAGGACGCCTGCCTTAGAGAATGAAGGGTCAGAGAAGGTGTGCAGACCTAACAAATAGCCTACATTTGCCTGGGGAAAAAGCCCGAGGGGGTGCTCAGAGCATTTCTGCAAGAGGCGAGTGAGAGCTGAAACTTCTTGAAATCAAACCTTTGCCTGAAGGCTTGGAATTTCAACCCTTTGGCAGCTACTGACCACACAGCCTTTAGTGTTGAGCTCCAGAAGGCGGTATGGATGGCCATCTAAGAATACAGTCCCTGGAAAGTTAAACAGTCCTATGAAAGACAAAACCTGCATTTGCTCAGGCTGCAGCCTGCATGGGAGCTGGCAGTAGTGAGGCTGCATGGGGTAGGGACCTCAAGGGTGTTGGGATTTCCCTCCTCAGACCCTTACTCCCTCTCAGACCATGCATAACCCCAGGCCTGCCCCATCCACTTGTCTACAAAACACTAGCATGAGAGAATTTGCCCCCTGCCTCTTCCATAGGAGTGTTACAAAGATTAATGATATGGACCTAAGTGCTCCTTGGGAGAGGCTCACTGTGATTCTTTCTTTTCAGCAAACCACTCTCTGCAATGTTTTCCATATAGACATGTCAGCTTCCCTGAAACAAACCAGAGTGGATAGTCATATAATTTACCATATCCTGGGGACATGGGGCTCTACCTGGGGCTTCTTAGTGCAGGCTGTGCTGTAGGTTAGATTCCCTGTGGACCAGGTATTGTTAAGTAGAACTGCCGAGTGTCGCCTGGGGGCAGGTGCCAGGTTGGGGGTGACTGGCTGGAGAATGGAGAGAGAACAGCACACAAAAGTAAAATAAAAGGGAAAAGAAAGTAAAAACTAGGCCACAGGGCAAAGTCCTCTTCTAAATAAAACCAATTCAAGAGACTCCAATATCTTATTTGGAGAAAATCAGCATAGTATTAGAAAAGAAAGAGCAATATGAAAAATGAGTTATTATAAAGAACAGAGCACTACCAATCTGGACAATTCATTTCACTATTATTTGTTTAAACTTTTTCTTATGGAAAAGATTTATGGTGGCTGACAAAAAATATTTTATAGTATGTATATAGATATAGTATAAGGGAAAATTAGGTAAAGCAATTAAGGCAAAGGAAAAAAAATCAGGATCCAATAATAAAATTAAGCAGAAGAAACGTTAATTGGCAGGCCCAAATAAGCAGAAAGTCCTTTGCTACGGTTAATGCAGATCACAAATCAGTTCTCAAAGTCTCAGAAGTCAATTCTGTATGATTACATAATCAGTTCCACGATTTAAGGTAACCATAAAGGAAAAGCCTATAAATTGCTTACCCAAAAAATGACAGATTTTTTTTCTGGCTGATCTCCCTAAAATATAGCAACAGTCACCTAACTGTAAGGTAAACACTTTCGCATAGAAACAAGACTCAACAAGTGTGAGTACAGTTCATACTGCACTGCCAGTGATAGACCTACACTATGATAGCCCTGAAGTAAACAGGTTGCCCTGATACATTTCCTTTAGTTTCAATTTTGATTGACAAAAGGTCAGGTCTGCTTAGAGAATTAGTGTTAAGTCTTGAAAGGTGTCAAAGTGTGTCAGTCTCCAAGCCATTGTGAGAGACTGCCTGAGGCAAAAAGAATCAAAAATGTTTTTAGTACAGTAAATGGGTATTAAAGCCCTGGTTTTGGGGTGTGTATGTTATCTTTACACTAAGCCTACCTTAGTTTTAACCTGTACAAATTCTGAAAGCATACGGAAGCTGTGGTTCTCTGGAATTCTCTCCCAAGGCAAGAAGAAATGTTTGATTCCTCTGTCCATAGCAGAGTCACAATTTTTGCCCAATTTTGAAATAAAAGCAATTTTAAAAGATGAGTTAACTTTATGTGTGGGTAAGCCACTAAAAAAAAAAATATATATATATATATATAAAAAGAGATGCTACTTGATTAAATGTCTCCAAAAATAGTGATGTCATATTTGTTCTTGAAAGTTCTAACACACACACTGGGTCCCAGTCTAGGGCTTCTCCCAAAGCAGGATCTCTTACAGACAGTAGGAGTTGGTGGTCTCCTTGACTAATCAGGGCTATAGGATCAAACCTGGGGTTTGGGGGTGAGGGGTTGGGGGTGGAGAAGTGTATTCTAACACTACTCAATTCTGTAGCTCCTTTTGCGACAAATGGAGGCTTTGGGCGATGCGGCTGGGATAGCCCTGTGTCTTGCAGTCCCCACAAGTGGGGAAAATGAAGGAGAAGAGGCCAGCAGTGGAAGGGGGGTGAGGGGTCACCACTGGCTCATGCTGAGAAGTCTCTGATATAGAAAATGGCATTAGAATTATCCCAGGATTTATGAGATGACTCCTTTGCATACTGGTCATTCCAATATGAACAAGTCTCTGCTTTATTTTTGTAATGCTAACCCTGTTTATATTGCTTAACTCTATAAGGGTAAGAGTTATTTAATATTTATTAAGAACTGGAAGGTGCTCAGCTCAGTAATATGGTATCAAGCCCATTAGACAGGTAATGAGAATGTTGACTTTAAAAGTTTTCCAATCTGAACCAAGATATCCTTTATAGTGGAATATTTATAGTATATAAATATACTATATAATATATACTATATAATATGAATACATAAATATACTATACATATAAATATATATAATTATAAATATATATAATTAGCATTCTCAGCAGAGAATGCTAATTAAAAATAGTTTTTCCTCTGGTTATAAGGTTGGCCTTCCTTCCCTTCTTTAAAAAATGGACTTAGAAAAATAGCAGTGGGAAATGGGAAGAAACTGGACTTAAAATTAAGGTTTACATAGGTTCGAAATTCAGTTCTACCAACGAATACCTCTGTGACCCTGATAAAGTTGATCTTCCTGGGACTCAGTTTATCCATAAATAAAATAGGAATAACAATATCTGTCTCATATGATTGTTGTAAAGAGTAAATGAGATATATAACAAGCCTGTCACATTAGTGATAATAAATGATACCTAATATTTTAATTTTTTTATTCAATAATTTGGATGCAGTTATGCTGGACCAATCCACCCTGTTTTATCTCCTAATTTGCTCTTCATAAGAGATACTTTTTGAAATGGCTAAGGATAGAGACATCATGTCACAGGACAACCTAAAGTAGCAGAATTGCAACTGGTGTCATTAACATTGTGTTTTAATTGACGTGAGGGAGTGACTAAGGCTTTGAGTCAAATTCCATAACAGCTTCTAGATAATAGAATGTATATACTTCCCTTTAGAGAATAGCTGGGCTTCTGAGTCTGTCCAGCTTTCACGTATTTTAACTCAAATCATGGTTTAAATGTGTTTGAGGGGCTGGCTAGTTAAGACCCAGCTGTGATTAATTCTAGAGTGGTGAAAACACTCTCCTCGAATCTATCCATCAGTGAGATTGATATTTTCTATTAAGCTTTTCTAACTGGGCGACACCTGGAAAGTTTGCAACAGTGTAAGGGGCTCCTGTCCAAGGAGCCCACAACCTTCCTGCAGACCAATTATGGTTGAAGAAAACATAGCAGTCCATACTATGTACAAAAATCTTAGAGTTCAGGAAAAAGGTTTTCAGATTCTAATAGAACATTAGGTATATTTCTTAACCCAACTGGAGTTGGGTTCATAATATATACCTAATCATAATATAATACCAAGAAAGCTATATTCCGATAAGCTTTTAATCGATGATAATTTTCCAAGGATTTGGCACAACAAATAAAGCATAATAAGAACAAATATGTATTGGCCACTGGTACACACAGATATTGCTCTAAGAACTTTACAGGTATTATTGCCTTTAATCCTTATTGCAGTCTTCTGTCACTTGTACTTATTGTCTGCATTTTAGAGATGAGAAAAATGAGGCAGTGATTATAACTAAATACTAAGGTACAGTTATGAGGGTATTTTGGGCCCCAAAAGCCCGTGTTCTCTTCACCGCACTAAACTGCCCTTTGGAGAAGTGTGCATCTGGGCAGTTTTCTCCTGAGAGGCAGAATACTTGCAGTATGTTTGCCCAGGGCTGTAACAAAATCCAAGGAAGGCCCAACGTGCACCACTATCACCTGAAACCCTGAGACTCTGCCACAGCTCGTAGGCAGGCACAATCCTCTTTCTGCAGCTCTGTGTCAACCGGCTGGCCTGCGTGTTCTCACCTTTGCATATTAGCTGACCTCTCTCTGCAGCAAAGCTCAGCTGCAGCCATTGGACCTGTCCTCGTGGAGACAAACAGTCTGCTGATTTATGTGGGAATGCTGGCACGAGATTAGGAACGAGATTAGGTTTCACAACCCAGAGTTCTGGCATTTTTGCAAACTGTCCTTCCCGTTCCGTCCCTGGACCTGAAACGGGTCTTTATCAGACCTAGAACTCTCAGAGATTATGAAAACACTCAGAACATTTTTGCAGTCACCACAAAGAAATACCTAGACAGACCATTCTGAAAATTTCAGAGTGCAGCATAGTCCTCTCGCCCCCTGCATCCCTGCAACACACAAACAGCTCTCAGAGAGGTTGCTGGTTGGTCTGCAGTGGACGGTTTAAGATCAGCATGCTTTTTGCATTCTTTAGTCCTAATTTTTACCAACAATGCAGAATCCCAAAAGAATGCCAGATAAAATATGCTGACTCGGTTTACTTTCCCTTAATTGGCATGCATCCCTTTTTGGTTGTGGTGGATCCGGGCAGTTGCTTACTTTCTTTCTGCTTGATCAATGAGGTTTAGAACTGAATATATCTTTTAGTGATGTTTATTTGATTGGAAACCTCTGAAAAGCATCATGATAATTAATCAAAGTGAGTTGAGATCTTTCAAAGCTG